AACTGCAGCAGCAACTGCAGCAGCAGCAGCAGCAGCAGCAGCAGCAGCAGCAGCAGCAGCAGCAGCAGCAGCAGCAGCAGCGGCGGATGGGGCCTTGGCAGCAGCAAGAACGCGCTTGGCGCCGCTTGCTTCGCAGCCGCGGCTGCGCCGCCGCGCAGCCGCGGGCGAGGGACCAGGGCCTAGGGTTTAGGGTTTAGGGTTTAGGGTTTAGGGTTTAGGGTTTAGGGTTTACCTGGGGAGCTGCGTGCTGGGGGGCGCTGCAGTCCTGTCCTGCACATTGTTTACGAAGCAATCGGCTATGCTGGTCTTCCCGCTGCTGCTGGAGCCGAGGAGAGTGACCCGCAGCAGCGGGAAGGCCTCGGGGTCCATTAGGGTTTAGGGTTTAGGGTTTAGGGTTTAGGGTTTAGGGTTTGGGGTTTGGGGTTGGGGCGGCGACGGCCGCGAGGTCCACCGCTAGCGAGTTGACGCAGCGGGACGCTCAAGACAACGCTGCAGCAAACCGCGCTGCTGCTGCTGCTGCTGCTGCTGCTGCTGCTGCTGCTGGTTGTCTTTTGTTGCTGCTGCTGCTGTTGCTGCTGCTGCTGCTGTTGCTGCTGTTGCTGCTGCTGTTGCTGCCAACGCGGGCCTGGTCTCAAGACCTCTCCGATGGCAAGTCGCGGCTGCGATGGCTCAGAAGCTGCGGGTTTAGGGTTTAGGGTTTAGGGTTTAGGGTTTAGGGTTTAGGGTTTGAGGTTTGCGAACTGCAGCCAAAATACTTTTCCTTTCATTTGCTTGCCCCCTTCCAGCGGAGCAGCAGCAGCGGCAACAGCGGCAGCGGAGCTGCTGCTGCTGCCGCTGCTGCTGCTGCTGCTGCTGCTGCTGCTGCTGCTGCTGCTGTTTCGACCGCGGTCGTTGCTGCTGCCACCCACTCGGCTTATTATGAAAATACACATTTAATTGTTAAAAATAAAACTTAAAGTCTTAATTTGCGGGACATAGATAGCTGTGAAGCAGCAGAGTGTTGTGTTTTCGCTGCTGCTGCTGCTGCTGCTGCTGCCGCTGCTGCTGCTGCTGCTGCTGCTGCGGTGACTGCGCACACTGAATTTCAGCTTGTCTTCTGCGGTAGCAGCAGCAGCAGCAGACGCAGAGGCCTCAACAGCAGCAGCAGCCGCACAACACTGCAGCAAGCAGCAGCAGAAGCAGCAGGACCAGCGGCACCCGCAGCAGCAGCAGCAGCAACTGCAGCAGCAGCAGCAACAAGCAGCAGCACGGCAGTCCACGCATCCCCCAGAGCCGTAGCTGAGGCAGTTGTTAAGGGGAGGCTGTTAGCAGCAGCTCCTTCAGCAGCAGCAGCAGCAGCGGCAGCAGCAAAGCAGCAGCAGCAGCAACAGCATCGAAGACACGGGCGGCAGCAGCAACAGCAGCAAAGGCAGCAACAAAGGCAATGCCAGCAGCAGCTGCTGCAAGACAAAGAGGCTTGCTTCCGCTGTCGCATTAGATCCAGACGTAACAACAGCAGCAGCAGCAGCAACAGCAGCAGCAGCAGCAGCAGCAGCAGCAGCAGCAGCAGCAGCAAAGGTGCGCAGAGCCGTAGCAGCCCTTCATGCTGAGGGAGTGTCTGCTGCTGGGGCATCCGTTGCTGCTGCCCCAGCAGCAGCAACAACCGCCGCAGCAGCAACCGAAGCAGCAGCAGCAACAGCAGCAGCAGCAGCAGCAGTTCAAGATGCTGCTGCAGCAGCAGCAGCAGCTCGTGCTTGACGACGGCGTGACCCTGATCTTAGGAGATGACGACGAGGGAGGAACCTCCGAGCAGCAGCAGCAGCAGCAGCAGCAGCAGCAGCAGCAGCAGCAGCAGCAGCACTTGTACCTGCATGAGCGCCGCAGCCGCAGCAGCAGGGAGTCCAGCTTGGCCATTTCAAAGGCCCTGAAGCTCGAGAAGAGAGAAAAGGAAGTGAAGCTGCTGCAGCAAAGGTAAGCAGCAGCAGCAGCTGCTGCTGCTGCTGCTGCTGCTGTTGCTGCTGCTACTGTCGCTGGCGCGTTGCTGCTGCTGCTGCTGCTGCCGTTGGGGCGTTGCTGCTGCTGCTGCTGCTGCCGCCAGGGCGTTGCTGCTGCTGCTGCTGCTGCTGCGGCTGGGGCGTTGCTGCTGCTGCTGCTGCAGCGCGTGCTGCCGTTTCGTGGCTTCCGCTGCTGCTGCTGTAGTGGGGCTTCTTGCTGCTGCTGCTGTTTCGGCCTTACGGCAATTGTTGCTGCTGCACTGCCGTTGCTGCTGCTGCTGTTGCTGCTGCTGCGCATTCCGGCGCTGGGTGCTGCAGCTGCTGCTGCCTCTTTATGGGCAGTGAATGGCTGCTTTTCTGCAGCAGCAGTCGCTTCTGCTGCTGCTGCTGCTGCTGCACCTGCTGCTGCCCTGGCAAGTGCTGCAGCCCTTGCTGCTATAGGATAAGAAACACTCGTCACAGCAGCAGCAGCAGCAGCAGCAGCAGCAGCAGCAGCTGTGTGGCTGTCCGCGTGTCTCAGGGGCCCCTTATATGCTGCAAGCATTCGCGTTCCCTGCCGCAGCCCGCCAGCAGCAGCAGCAGCAGCAGCAGCAGCAGCAGCAGCAGCAGCAGCAGCAGCAGCAGGGGCCTCCGGCACGGGCGGCGCAGCAGCCGAGCCCACAGCAGCAGCAGCAGCAGCAGCAGCAGCGCCAGCAGCAGCAGCAGCAGCAGCAGCAGCAGCAGCTTACCGCGAAATTGGCCTCTGCGAGCTGCTGCCGCGGTTTGTTGCTGCACTGCCAAAAGCTGCTTCGGGGGCCCTCAGCGGCAGCAGCATTTCGGGAGCAGCAGCAGCAGCAGCAATTCAAAAGGCCCTTTCTATCAGCCAGGAAGACGCGGTCTACGTAAACCCTAAACCCTAAACCCTAAACCCTAAACCCTGATGCGCACCCAGGCCCTCCAGGCCCGCCCTTTGCCAAACCCCGAGGCTTTAGGGCCTTCTGCGCGCTGCTGCTTCCTGTGCCCCTGCTAGGGTTTAGGGTTTGCTAGGGTTTAGGGTTTGCTAGGGTTTAGGGTTTGCTAGGGTTTAGGGTTTGCTAGGGTTTAGGGTTTGCGGGGTCCTAGGGTTTGCGAGGGTCTAGGGTTCACTGGGCGTGGGTGCAGAGCACGCCCGGCCGTAGGGTTTGCGGGGTCTAGGGTTTAGGGTTTAGGGTTTAGGGTTTAGGGTTTAGGGTTTGCGTGCAGGTGGGGCAGCAGCTGCTGGAGCTGGAAGTGCTGCGGGAAGTGCCGGAGTGTGGGGTGGCTGCGTTCGAGTGTACGTACACCCGAAAGTTCCTGCTGCAGCAGCAGCAGCAAACAGCAGTTTCGAATTTTCTCTTTAAGTGGACAAAACCCGCAGCAGAGCCGCTGCCCCTCGTGGAGTACTTGCTGCGCCAAACCCTCGACCTCCTCGTAAACCCTAAACCCTAAACCCTAAACCCTAAACCCTAAACCCGCGGCGCCGCGCCCGCCGCAGCAGCGCCGCCCCCTCAGGCCCCCTTGCTGCAGCCTTCCGCCCTCCGCCTTCAGCCTTCAGCCTCCAGGGTTAGGGTTTAGGGTTTAGGGTTTAGGGTTTAGGGTTTAGGGTTTAGGGTTTGGGGTTTGGGTTTTGGCAGGGTTCGCACAGCGCGGGGGGCGTGGTGGAGAGCCGGGGTGTCTGTACAGACCCGCGGTGTCTGCAAGTGTTTTTGAATTGCTGCGAATTGCAAACCACCATTTTATTTTCTTTTGAGAAGCAGCAGCAGCACTTGGCTTTTTTCCTGAACCTCTTCAACCTGGCGCACACGCTGGCGCTGCTGCAGGCGAGCAAACCCTAAATTAGGGTTTAGGGTTTAGGGTTTGGGCGGCGGCCGCGCGCTGCGCGCGTCGCGGGTTTGGGCGGGCGTGCGGGGCTGGGGTTTAGGGTTTAGGGTTTAGGGTTTGGGGTTTCCGGGGCGCTGAGGCGCGGGCCCAGGCCCGGCGCGCCTGCCGCCGGGCAGGGCTAGGGTTTAGGGTTTAGGGTTTAGGGTTTAGGGTTTGCGCGCAGGCCGGCGTGCCCGAGGGTTTGCTGCAGCGCCAACGCTTCTTCTGGGGGTCTAGGGTTTGCGTCGGGGGTTTTCGCTGGAGTTTAAATGAACTTTTAAATGGAGTTTTGAGGGCCAACAAAAGGGCCCCCTGGGCCCTCCACAAACCCTTCATTTTCGCGGACCAGCGACGCGGACTCGCGGCCAAAACCGTGGGGTTTAGGGTTTAGGGTTTAGGGTTTAGGGTTTAGGGTTTAGGGTTTAGGGTTTGCGTTCAGGTGGACCCTCGCATTCACTTTGCTGTCAGTTTCGGCTGCGTCAGCTCTCCTCCAATTCGAATTTATCATGCAGAGACGCTAGATGTTAGTTGCTGCTGCTGCTGCTGCTGCTGCTGCTGCAGTATTGCTGCTGCTGCTGCTGCTGCTGCAGTATTGCTGCTGCTGCTGCTGCTGCTGCTGCAGTATTGCTGCTGCTGCTGCTGCCGCCGCGCTTTTGCTGCTGCTGCTGCTGCTGCCATAGTAATGTTGCTGCTGGTCTGCTGATGCTTCTACTATATTGCCGGCGTTTTATCTGTGCTGCTGCATTTTTGCTGCTGCTGCTGCTGCTGCTGCTGCCTTTCTGCTGCTGCTGGCGGGCAACGGGGGCTCTGCCGCTCGCTGCGTGTCTGCTGCTGCTGCTGCAGCAGCTGCTGCAGCAGCTGCTGCAGCTGCTGCTGCAGCTGCTGCTGCTTATCTCCCGTACCTTTCGCGTCATGCAAGCAAGTAGAAAATCCAGTTCACTAATTAACCAATTCATTATTTATTTATATATTTATTTATTTATTTATTATTATTTATTTGCTGCCGCTGCTGCTGCTGCTGCTGCTGCTGCTGCTGCTGCTGCTGCTGCTGCTGCTGCTGCTGCTGCTGCTGCTGATGAACAGGAGGAGCTGGCGCTGGCGACTCGGGCCTTTCTTTCGTCTTCTTCGAATTTTTGCATTTTTGAAAAAACTGTTTTCCTCAGCAGCATCTTCAAGTGGTTCGAAGGAGACTTTGGCAGCAGCAAAAAGGAGGTCTGCTGCTGCTGCTGCTGCTGCTGCTGCTGCTGCTGCTGCTGCTTCTGGTCTTGCTGCTCCTTCTGCTGCTGCTGTTGCTGGTCACCCTGCTGCTGCTGGTGCTGGTCACCCTACTGCTGCTGGTTGTGCTGCTGCTGCTGCTGCTGCTGGTCACGCTGCTGCTGCTGCTGCTGCTCGTCATGCTGCCGCTGCTGGTCATGCTGCTGCTGCTGCTGCTGGTCACGCTGCAGCAACTGCGGGACTCATACTACAGATCGTGCTGCTGCCGCTGCTTCTGCTGCAGTTGGAGGTGCTCCTGCTGCTGATGCTGCTGCTGCTCTTGCTGCTGCTACCGCCGTCTGTGCTGCTGCTGCTGCTGCTGCAGTGCTGCTGGCAGCTCTCTCCTGCTTGCTGCTGCAGGTTCTGACCTTTTTGCTGCCATATCTGGAGGCTTCTCAAAGCGAGCTGCTGCAGCAGCTGCTGGAAGAAGAGGAGCCTGCTGCCCACCCCGCAGCAGCAAGCAGCAGCAGCAGCAGCAGCAGCAGCAGCAGCAGCAGCAGCAGTGGCAGCAGCGTGACAGAAGTGCTTATGGGAGGCTTCAGGCGGCTGTTTGGGGGTGTGAGGGTTTCTTATTTGCCTTATAATTGGCAAATGAGGTTTACGACTCACAAACCCTACGACCCTCACCAGCACATCCTGCAAACCCTAGTTTAGGGTTTAGGGTTTGCAGGACTTGCAGTAGGGACGCAGACGCATTCAAGTTGCTGAAGGTGCTGCTGGTGCTGCTGCAGAAGCAGCGGCACCAGCAGCAGCAATGACTAGCAGCCTTTGCCCACGTGCCTAGGGTTTAGGGTTTAGGGTTTAGGGTTTAGGGTTTAGGGTTTAGGGTTTAGGGTTTCGCAGCGGCGCTCACGCAGCTTTTTTGTGGCTGCAGCTGCGGATTTGCTTTTCTTGTTAGGCGCAAACAAACAAACAAATGGATTAAAAGTTGTTAAATTCATAAATATATTTTAAAGGTAAAAAGTTGTAAATATTCAAATAGATTTATAAATGAAATAAAAGTATGCAAGTGCAGTGAGTCAACGCATGCAGGTGCTCTTCAGTCTTCGGGTGTACGTACACCCCAGCTCTTTTCCCAGTCCGCTCGGTGGATGTCTGGAGGTGCATTTGAAAGTAATTTGAATTTATTTTCGCAAAAGCATTTATTATTTTCATTTTAAAACAAATTTAATTTATGTTTGGAGAGAAATTCGAGGAAAGTGGAACAAGAAATATATTTCTGCAGAGGCATTTGCGCGTTGGCCAACTCGGGAGGCAAACAATAGCCAAACCTCCATAGTACTGGACAGTTTATTCGAAATATTGAACAATTTGTCCGAAATATTAAACAATTTATTCAATTTAATTCAAATAATAAAACAATAATTCATTTTAAACTCAAAACAAACAAATTCGCAAAAACTCCCGCGACCGCTCATTCGCTGCACGCGCTGGGGTGTACAGACACCTCAAGCCTGCACTGCCTCTGTTACTCCTAATTCACTTTTTCATTTTTAAATAATTTAATTCTGCATTTTCTCGCATTATAAACAGTATTTGCTCCATTTAAAACTTTCCGGGGGGCCCCACCCTCAGGGGGCCCCCTGGGGGGCCCCCAGGGGGCCCCCCGGGGGCCCCTGGGGGCCCTTGGGGGCCCCGGGGGGCCCCTGTGGGGCCCTTCATTGCTGGGGCCCCACAGCAAGGGGCCCCTAGGGTTTTCTGCAATTGTTAATATGAAAATAAAATTAATTTTGTAGCTTTTGTTTGATGTTTTATTCCATTAGGGTTTGACTGAATTGCGGGCTCCTCCAAACCCTAAACCCTGCCCCAAAACCTAAACCCTAAACCCTAGCTGCGAAACCCGAAACCCTAAACCCTAAACCCTGAAGTCTAAAGAAGCCTTCGGCAGGTCTTCTCTTCTGCATTCCCCCTCAGGGCTCGAAGCCCCGCTCAGCGGCTTGCCCGCAGGCCCAGGTTTAGGGTTTAGGGTTTAGGGTTTAGGGTTTAGGGTTTAGGGTTTGAGGATGCAGGGAGATCTGGGGCTGGCCTTCTGGAGGGTCGAAGCAGAACTGCTGGGGCCCCACAGGTCCCTCAGGGGCCTCCGGGGGGCCCTAGGGTTTTTAGTGTCTGCAGTGGAGTTGGCTTTATCTGGGGGCCCCCTAAACCCTCAGGAGGTTTCTCTTGTCCGCGAAGGTGCAAACCCTAAACCCTAAACCCTAAACCCTAAACCCTAGCGGGCTCCCACGCTGCCCCCTTCTCCCGCGCCGCCTGTAGATCCCCTTTTCCAGCCCTCAGAAACCAAGTCCCTACGCCCTAAGGTCTAGGGCCTAGGTTTTAGGGTTTAGGGTTTAGGGTTTAGGGTTTAGGGTTTAGGGTTTGCTGCGCCCCAGAACTGGCCCACTTCTGCGACTTGTGTCTTTGGCTTCGCCGCTGCCGCTGGCGCTCCATCTTCACAAGAGGCTTCGCACACAAATATCTCTACACACTTTCCAAGGGGGCCCCCCAGGGGGCCCCCCAGGGGCCCCCCGAGGGGGCCCCCCAGGGGGCCCCCCAGGGGCCCCCCGAGGGGGCCCCCCAGGGGGCCCCCCAGGGGGCCCCTCAGGGGGCCCCCCAGGGGGCCCCCCTGGGGGCCCAAGGGGCTTTTGAGAGTGCAGAGGGGGGCCCCCAAGGGGGCCCCCAAGGGGGCCCCCAAGGGGGCCCCCAAGGGGTCCCCTCGAGTGTGTGTAGGTCTCCAAGGGGGCCCCCAGGAAAAGGGTACTGGGGGGCCCCCCGGGGGGCCCCCTTTTGATATTGAAGGGGCCCTCATGGCAGAAGCAGCAAACTGCTGCTGCGGGGGCCCCCCGCTGCTGATTGCCTTGAGAAGCAGAAGTCTTATGCTGCTGGGCGTGGCTGGGTTGCTGGTGTTCTCCCAGGTAAACCCTAAACCCTAAACCCTAAACCCTAAACCCTAAACCCTAGCTCGAAGCAGCTCCGCCGCTGCGGCGCGGAAGGCTTGCGGCGCTCGCGGCTTCCGTGGAGTTCACTGTGAGGGCTGCGGGCCCAGGGTTCTTCAACGGTTTAGGGTTTAGGGTTTAGGGTTTAGGGTTTAGGATTTAGGGTTTAGGGTTTAGGGTTTGGGTGCAGGCGAACCTGACGGGGCCCCCTTTCGGGCCTTCAAAGGCCTCGGAGCTGCTGGAGCTGAAGCTCGAAGAAGAGGGGAAGCGAAAACACCCAGACTTATACCCTCCTAAACCCTCAGCAGCAGCAGCAGCAGCAGCAGCAGCAGCAGCAGCAGCAGCAGCAGCAGCAGCAGCAGGAGGGGGAGCAGCGGCGGGAGCAGCGGCGGCGGAGGGCTGCTGCTGCTGCTGCTACTACTGCGGCCTTTGCCCGCGGGAGGAGGCCATTGCTGCTGCTGCTGCAGCAGCAGCAGCAGCAACAGCAGCAGCAAAACAAAAACGCTGCTACTGCGAAAGCAACTTGAAGGACTTTTGCTGCTTGGGAGACCCCACAGAAGGCACTTTGCAAACCCTAAAAAGGATTAAAAGTCTCGAGTCCATGCTCACCGTCGACGGCGAGGTACAAACCCTAAACCCTAAACCCTAAACCCTAAACCCTAATCCCTGTGTGCCACTGGGCCCGCGTTCGCAAGACGGCAGGAAGCGTCATCGAACTTCAGAAGATGCGCATTGGACTAAGGGCCCAGGGTTTAGGGTTTAGGGTTTAGGGTTTAGGCTTTACTGCTTGGAGTTCAGGGTTTAGGGTTTAGGGTTTAGGGTTTAGGGTTTAGGGTTTAGGGTTTAGGGTTTGTGTGCAGGCGGTATATGAAGGCGTCCGGGCTTCAGCCTACCTTTGGTTTGCCCGCCTCATATTTGCCTTTCTTAAATCTGCACAGCTCAGGGGGGACCCCCTGGGGGGCCCCCCAGGGGCCCCCCAGGGGGCCCCCCTGGGGGCCCCCTGGGGGGCCCCCCTGGGGGCCCCCCAGGGGGCCCCTGGGGAATCCCCTGGGGAAGCCCCTGCGGCTACCCCAGGTGGGGCCCCCACGTGGGGCCCCCCAGGGGGCCCCCCCGGGGGGCCCCCCGGGGGCCCCCAAGGGGGGCCCCCAGGGGGGCCCCCAGGGGGGCCCCCCGGGGGGCCCCTAGGGGTACTAGGTGGAGGGTTTGAAGGGCCCTTAAGTGCATTTGTGTGGAGCTCTCGCGCGGCCTTTTTGCTGCAGAGGTCTTTAAGGGCTGGGGGTGGGGCCTCGGGGGCCCTTAGGGGGGCCCTGGCCCCTTCTTTGGTGGCAGCAGCACTTTTTGACTTTGCTGCAGTGCTTCAGCAGCTCAAGGTAAACCCTAAACCCTAAACCCTAGCCCCAAACCCTAGCCCTAAACCCTAGCCTAAACCTAGGGCGGCGACGCAGCTGCGTGGGGCGGTGTCGAGGGCGCTGCGCGCCTTGCTGCGCCCGGGTCGAGGGTTTAGGGTTTAGGGTTTAGGGTTTAGGGTTTAGGGTTTAGGGTTTGGTGCGCGCAGCTGCTGCCCGAGAGCTTCAGCTGCTTCTCCCTCGAGGCCAAAACCCTCGAGTCTCTGCTGCAGGCAGCAGATGTGGGGTCTGCTGCAGCAGCAGCAAAAAGGCAGCTGCAGACAGACTTGGGAGATTTGCTGCCGGGCCAGCAAGCCAGGATTTTGCTGCTGCCCCAGGCCCCTGCTGCTGCGCTACTCAGCAAATGACTCGAACGTCATCGACCTCGCCTTCCTCTTGCCAGATCCTTCTTGGAGTGAGGGTTTAGGGTTTAGCTCTTGGCCTTCAGGGTTTAGGGTTTAGCTCTTGGCCTTTAGGGTTTAGGTTTAGGGTTTAGCTCTTGGGCATGAGGGTCTAGGGTTTTCCCCCTTGGCCCTGAGGGTTTAGGGTTAAGGGTTTACGGCTTCATTTTAGGGTTTAAGCGAGTTTAATGAGAGGGCGCACTCAACGAAGGACTGCAGCCTGACGGTTCTGTAGTCTAGGGTTTAGGGTTTAGGGTTTAGGGTTTAGGGTTTGGGGTTTAGGGTTTAGGGTTTGCGCTGCAGTGACAATTCGGGATAAGACTCTGCTGCTGCTGGAGCTGGGGCTCCGTCTGGCGGTTTTGGGTCGGGTGGAGGTTTTCGACGCCGTCAACAGTCAGCGCTAAACCCTAAACCCTAAACCCTAAACCCTAAACCCTAAACCCTAATTCCTGAGCAGTGGCAGTGCAGCAGCTTTTGCGCTCAAGGCTTCACTGCCGTTTGGTCTTTCCACTTCACACTCAAGCCCAGCAAAACCCCCGGAGTCACCACTAGATCTAAGGGTTTAGGGTTTAGGGTTTAGGGTTTAGGGTTTAGGGTTTAGGGTTTAGGGTTTAGGGTTTGGGCGTTGCTGCTAGGCATGGCCTGCGAGACCTACGGGGTGGAGTTCACCCTCACGGGGGCCCCCGGGGTCCGCCGCAAGTACCAGCAGCAGCTGCTGCCGCAGCTGGTTGTGGGGGCCTCCAGAAGGTCCAGGGGGGCCCCCGCAGCAGCAGCAGCAGCAGCAGCAGCAGCAGCAGCAGCAGGGGCCCCGGGGGGCCCCCCCGAAGCAGCAGCAGGCGCCCCCCAGGACCCCACCGAGGGGCCCCCCCTCCCCGCGCCCAGGCTGCTGCCCACTATGGAGGGCCCCTTCTTGGGGCACAGCAAAACCAGCAGCAGCAGCAGCAGCAGCAGCAGCA